AAGCGGGTACGTGGCGTGACCACTCGTATTGCCTAAAGTAATCCGATTTTTGCAAGGAAGCAAAGCTAGGGTAGATATAAAAGTGAACCTAGAGGTTAACACACCCTAGAGATTTCTTCTCTTGGCAAAAACACGAGTTTTTGTAGACGGCAGCAACGTCACACCGCATGTCCCTCCCTCTGGGTGAAACTCGAGTTTTTAGACGATCTTCGAAAAACATTAACCCATCTATACCTAAGGTGATTCTCTTTCAGGTATTGATCATAGAAGGAGAGACTGGCTCAGGGAAAACTACACAGCTACCGCAGTACCTTTATGAAGCTGTATGTTACTGAAATTGGCGTACCTATATTGTCTAAGTTTTCCTATTGAAGGGTTTCTGCAAAGACGGAAAGAAAATTGGTTGCACTCAGCCACGTCGTGTCGCAGCAATGTCTGTAGCAGCGAGAGTAGCTGAGGAAGTGGGATGTAAATTAGGCATGCAGGTGGGTATCAAACCTCGCTATCCTTGCAGTAAGATTCGCTCCCAAAGATTCGAATTTTAGGTTGGTTACAGTATTCGGTTTGAAGACTGCACTTCTGAGAAAACTGTTTTGAAATATATGACAGATGGCATGCTGTTACGTGAATTTTTGAACGAGCCGGACCTCGCAAGTTACAGGCATGTTTTTGTATTTCACTGGTTCCCCTTGTTGTCGCTTCTTTTAATGCTTCATTTTTTGGACTTGAAAACACTTGCTTTTTTCTTATCGCTTTTCAAAATAACCACTTTCAGTGTCATGATGATTGACGAAGCCCACGAGAGAACTCTGCACACGGACATTCTCTTTGGTCTCGTCAAAGATATAGCCAGATTTAGAAAGGTAGTTACCCTACCTACGTTTTTTAATTCGTTCTCGAATGTTTCCATCGAAGTTCGATGTCTCAGGATCTGAAACTCCTGATCTCCTCGGCTACTCTTGACGCCGAAAAGTTCTCAACATTTTTCGACGATGCTCCGATTTTCCGAATTCCTGGAAGAAGGTGTGTACTAATCGTCTTTCACAAGCGATTGAGCAAGGTCAAATAGTAATGCCTTAATTGGCAGATTTCCTGTCGACATCTACTATACGCAAGCTCCAGAAGCGGACTACATGGATGCTGTTATGGTCACAGTCATGCAAATTCATCTCACGCAACCATTACCTGGCGACATTCTCGTGTTTCTGACAGGTTGAAATGAAAATTTTGCGTTCTATTCTCCTATCTGCTACTCATAAGACCTCCTGGCTCTTTCTATTATGAAAAAGAAAACCACTCTACACTAGTTCGCCTCTATAGCTACAAATATGCTGTCGAGGTGCCATAATGCTTCCATTACCGTAGACTTGTTAGCTTGTCATGTTCTGAGACCCAGCGGTATTCACTCTCAGAGTTTCAAAAAACAGGTCATGTTTGAAGCACAGCTATATTAATTGTTGTCTCTGTAGACGTGTTTTTTAGGTCAAGAGGAGATTGAATCTGTGCAGGAAGCCCTTATGGAGAAGACGAAAGCGCTAGGAAGTAAAATCAAAGAATTAATTCCATTACCAATTTATGCAAATCTGCCGTCCGATCTACAAGCAAAAATTTTTGAACCCACACCACCTAACGCTAGAAAGGTGAGTAATCTTTTTTTTCATTTTATTATCTTAAGTGTCTCTCAAAGCCTTTTCTCTTTAGGTAATTCTCGCCACAAATATCGCCGAAACATCTGTCACCATCGACGGTATTTGCTATGTCATCGATCCTGGTTTTTCCAAACAAAATTCTTTTGATGCGAGGAGTGGAGTCGAGCACTTGCATGTGGTTACGATCTCAAAGGTTTCATTTTTTCAGCTAGATTTTTTTCCATTTCTAAAGTTTTTCCTCTTTCTAAAGTTTTTCTCTACGATTTGTCTTAGGCTTCAGCTAATCAGAGAGCTGGACGGGCGGGACGAACAGGTCCAGGGAAGTGCTTCCGTCTTTACACAGCCTGGGCGTACAAGCACGAGCTTGAAGACCAACCTATTACTGAGTATCGTTGTTCAAGAAATAGTTGGTCAGATTCCACATGTTCTGATCTGACCCTATTTTCAGATTCAACGAACAAATTTGGGTAACGTAGTATTGATGCTCAAATCTCTAGGAATTCATGATCTCGTTCACTTTGATTTTCTCGACCCACCACCCAAGTTAGGTTAATGTTTTTTATTACTGCTTTATTTTCGTTCTTCTTCCAAATTTATTTTTATGTTTAGGAAACGCTGGTAATTGCACTAGAACAACTGTATGCACTTGGTGCTCTTAAACATCATCGAGGCGAGCTAACCAAGTTGGGACGGCGCATGGCTGAATTTCCTTGTGATCCATGTATGAGCAAAATGATAATCGCCAGTGAAAAGTAAGACATTTTTAATTAAGTGGACACTGTATTTTGCTATGATTATGATTATTTAAGGTACGGATGTTCTGAAGAAATTCTCACCATTTGCGCGATGTTATCTTGCAATGCAGCTGTGTTCTATAGGTAGTTTCTTGACTTACTTTATTATTTGTAATCTTCAGCGATGATATTTCAACGCGGAAATGTAATCTATCTATGAGCGAAAGTGTATCTATATAGTTGTCTTCATACTTGCTAAGTTTATTAAGAGTTTGAAGAAATAAAATTTTAGACCAAAGGCGATGATTATACATGCGGATTCAGCAAGAAAGGCGTTTTGGAGCCCGGCAGGAGATCACATTACCCTTATGAATGTGTACAACAAGTGGAAAGAAACAAATTATTCGCAGCAATGGTGAGTGTTTTTCGCTTCTGTGCGGTATCTACTTTCATTCCTTTACACACATTCGTGCTATCTTCCATTGAGCTAATCGATGCAATATAATACTTAGTACTAAGTGTGCCACCGATTTATCAAGTTATTGAGATTCGGTGTCTCGTGCCTCTTTAGGAACTAGTCTTAGAGTTGTTGTAGGTTCTGTTTTTTTTTTGGAATTCTCTTTTTCCTCTCAAAGAGAACATCGATATTCAAAACATTCAGCCGAATGCAGCCTTCCCAGAGGAGTAGGTTTTATAGAGTTCATCATTGTAGGTGCATGGAGAATTTTGTGCAACATCGAACAATGAAGAAAGCAAGGGATATTCGCGATCAACTGGAAGGACTGCTTGAACGAGTCGAGATTGAGCCTGTAAGTTTTATAAAGCTACTGTAACTCCGCGGCTGGCAGTAATAATGGTTCAGTAATTGTGGCTCAGCGCATAGTTGACCATACTGTATTCTCGATTCAAGCGTTTTCAGAAATCCAGTTCCTGCACCTATTGCTATTCGAAAAGCTATCACAGCTGGATATTTCTATAACTGTTCAAAACTTGACAATTCTGGTTAGATTTTTCTTTTCACTCACGGTCTTTTGTTTTCACTTTGATATATGTTAAACTAGCTATACGGTACAAGTAATAAATCAACAACCAAAATAGGTGCAGACGCTTCATATTGAAGAGCGCTTGCTCATCAAATTGCTGGCTTCATCTTTCTACAACTCCACTAAAGTTTTGTCAGTAGAGAACAAAGGGTGTGGCACACTAGGGCAGGAAGCG